TGCTCCCCAGATAGTTATTGGAAGGAAAAAGCCATGGTTGTGCGGAGGTGTCATTCTGGTAAGGGAGAGAGGGTGCGGGTGTGTGCTAGGCAGTCTTGGACTTCCATCATGTGGTATAGGGGGAAAGCTGAATTGAGCACAGGATAATGGTGGCAGATCTAATCAATAATGGTGGATTATTTTGTAAAATGCCTTAGAACTAGCAACCTTGGGGACAGGGTAGGCATTCCCAAACAACTTTGACAAAGTTCTGGTGGGTACTTTTTCCTGTTTTAATTTTGTGTTTTTCCCCTCCTCTTTCCGTTGTTGCCGTTTTGATGACCTGGGACCACACACACTTGGTCGTGGGGTTCGCCACGTGTCACATCAGCTTGCCCTGCTCCCACACTCAGCCTTGGGATGTGTAGAGACCGCATGTCAGTTACAGTGCTTGTGCACAGTCTCACCAGGGCTCATACTTAGTTGCGGTGCTCATCTGTGTTCTGGTTATAGTACTTGGGGGGGGGGGGGTCACTGGTGCTCATACACATATTCACCAGGAGTTGTCCATCCTTGGCCGTGTTCACTCCCACCTCCTGTGCACCCAAAACCACTGTTAAAATAACAGAGGTCCTAGACCGCAAAGTTGCTGGAACTGCACTAGGCCTAGAATGCACCAGGCGTTCAGGGATCAAGCAAAGTTGCAAGACAGGTAGGTGCATTTAGCCACCCCTAATTTTATGTTTTGTCTTTATTGGTTTGGAGGTCACGTGGCAGTGTTCAAGGAGCCTCACAGTGCCTTGGGCTTCTAGCATTCTCTTCAGCTCCTTAACATGGCTTAACATCTTTCTAGGCCCTGGGTTTTTTTTTTTAACTTTATTTTCTACTTTTGTCTTTTAAATGGAGCAAGGAAAGCAATACAGAAAACTGCAAGTGAGCCTCTTCAATAATCTTGAATAGGGAAAGGCTTACCATAAAGGAAATATTTGACTACAGAAAAACTAGTGGAACTGTAAAACAAACAAAACACTGGAGGAAAAAGTAGAATTCTTCCACTTACAAAAGACCAAGTGTCTAAGTGTATGTATTATAAATAATACATACAAATTAGTAAGCAAAAAATCGAGTAAAGAGATAAATAGGGATATTGGGTAAGAACAGTTCTTAGAAAAAATCAAAACAGTCTTTTTCAGGGCCAGATCGATAGTACAGTTGGTAGAGGGTTTGCCTTGCATATGGCAGACCCAGGTTCAATCCTCGGAATCCCATATGGTCCCCAAGCACCACCACGAGTAATTCCTGAGTGCAGAGCCAGGAGCATCGCTGAGTGTGACCCAAAAGCAAAACAATAAAATGATTTTTTAAAGTCTTTTTCTATTTGGGGCAGAGAGGTCTGCCATACAATGGCAGTGGTTTGGGACCGTTCCCAAGCTTACCCCATCTGACTGGGGAGGTTACAAGCTTGGGCCTTATAATGAGGTGCTGGGGGCCAGGCCACTGGGGCCACCCTAGTATGCTAGAGGCTGGCAGGAACTGACCCACCAGGGCTTAGCGCCATGCTGTGTCAGGGATAAAATTGAGGCCTCCACATTCTAGGCATGTGCTCCAGCTTGTGGAGCTCTCTCTGGCCCTAATAGTCTTAAATTGCGTGAAATAAATGTATACACTCAAAAGAAATAGGAAAAAATAAAATGATTTTCAATTTTGAATAAGAAGTTAGATTTTACTCTTAGCAAATGAAAGCCAAAACATATTCTAACATCTGGTATTGTTCAGAGGAATAGGGAAATATGCCAATTACACGAACATAAATTCAGACAAATTCATTGGAGAACCATGTTTTGGGATTTAAGGAGGTCTGAGGGTCCCACCCAGCAGTACTTGAGAGCTACTCAAGTACTCAAGTGCTCTGTGCTCTGGACCAGGGATGGAACATGTACCTCTTGATGTTGACTATGAGCTTCACCCACCAAACTATCTCCCAGCACTGTGTTTACAACAAAAGAAGATTGTTGATTTGGTTTTGTTTATATATCCTCTTGACTAATTGTGGAATTTAACAACTTTAAATACTGGGTGGGGGACATCTTACAGAATGAAAATGGTAAATGGAACATATATTAACTAGGTAATATTTTTTTCATAGCAATTGGCAGAGTTTAATATTCCAGAAAAATTAAGTCCATCATACACATTAAAAATATAGGAAATTTCATGCAGACATGAAGCTTCCAATTCAGCCTTTGTGGAAACTGTTGAGAATTACATATAGATACAGTACATTTTACAGATCCCAAACTTAATTGTAAACGGTGATTTATACAGCTTCTTTGTATTTTACATATCTCACCTTGCTCACTTGATTAGCAAATTCTTACCTGCACCATTTCTGATTATTGGAGAAGGGGAAAAAAGCCAGTACAATGATCTGTCTCTTTCTGCTTTATGAAAATAAATGAAAACATTTGTGTATAAAGCTGACTTAAGAAAAATACATTAAGGCTTACATACTTCAGTAGCTATGAATATACATAATACAAAATTAAATCTCCCAATTAACTAGGTAATATTTTAGAAGCTATAGCAACTAAAGACAGTGGCCGTAACAATAGTCCAGCAGGGAGGGCATTTGCCTTGTACGCAGCCTACCCGGTTGGTTTCTGGCTTCCCGCATGGATCCTCCAGTACCACCAGTAGTAACCCCTGAGCATTGCCGCATGTGACCCCCCCAAAATAATTAAACACAACAGTGACCTAAGCTCTTATAAAATATTCCAGACATTGTACTGGAAAGATGGTATGAGGTTAATGCACTTGCCTCGGGGCAGGAGAGATAGTACAGTGGATAGGGCACTTGCCTTGCTCACAGCCCACCGGGGTCGATCCCCAGTATCTTATGTTGTCCCCTAAGCACAGCCAGGAGTGACTCTTGAGCAAAGAGCTAGGAGTAAGTCATGAGCGCAGTGTGGCCCAAAAACGAAAATAAAATAAGGCACTTACCTTGCACACAGCTGACCCCAGTTCCAGTCCCCAGCACCACATACGGTTCCCTACACATCTCCAGGAGTCAGTCCTGAACACAGCTAAGTGTGTCCTCCTACCTCAGAAATTACCATTTCTAGTACTATGTAGCTATTAGTAAAGATGAAGTCATGAAATTTACATACAAGTGGTACTACATGGAAAGTATCATGCTAAGCGAAATGAGTCAGAAAGAGACAGACAGACATAGAAAGATTGCATTCATCTGGGGAACATAAAGTAACAAAATAGGAGACAAGCACCCAAGAATAGCTGAGATAAGTACCGGGAGGTTTACTCCATGGCTTGGAGGCCAGTCGCACACTCTAGGGGTAAAGGCAGCTCAGATAGAGAAGGGAGCACCAAATAAAGGGTGTTGGGAGGATCCTCCCAGAATGGGAGAATAATGCTGAAAGTAGACTATAGACCGAACATGATTGCCATTCAATGCCTCTTCTGCAAACCACAGCACCCAAAAGGAGAGAGAGAACAAAAGGGAATGCCCTGCCACAGAGGCAAGGGGGGACGGGGGCATGGGGGGTGGGAGAGATACTGGGATCAGTGGTGGTAGAAAATGGGCACTGGTAGAGGGATGGGTACTTGATCATTGTATAAGTGAAACCCAAGCACAAAAATTTATAAGTCTACAACTGTACCTCATGGTGTTTCACTAATAAAAATTTTTTTAAAAAATTACCATTACTGGGGCCTGAGCAAGAGTACAGCAGCTAGGGTGTTTGCCTTGCACGCAGCCAGCACGGGTTCTCTCTCCGGCTTCCTGTAAGGTCCCCCAACACTGCCAGGAGTGATTCCTGGGTGCAGAGCCAGGAGTAACCCTGAGCATTGCTGGGTGTGACCCAAAAAGCAAATAATTAAAAAAAATACCATTTCAAATGTAAGTAGTTCATCATTGATATAATTCTATGATTTGCAGGATTCTAGCTCTTTCTTGTTAGCTCTAACATTCCCAGACACGGCTTCCAAGTCCTAGACTCCTATTGTGCTTAGTCATAGCTATGTTACAGCCAGTGAATAGGAGAGAGATGTTCCCACCACTTCAGTCAGATGCTGTCGGTTCAAAGTCTCAAGACCATCCTCAGCTTCGTGTTAAGTCTGAGAAAAGCCTTTAGGTTCTATTTCTATGATTATTGAACACTGGTTCTCAACACTGATACTTCTGTGGATGTCTTCTGGGGATGTTTGGAATGTGTGCAGTGGGGACATTCTTTGTTTCAGTGTCCAAAGAGCACTAAAAGCATTAAGTGGCTAGGACCTAGGAATGATAAATATCCTGTAATGTGATGGACAGTTCTCCCTGTCAGCTGAGAGTCACACTGCCCAGAGAGCTGGTAGTACCCCCCACCCCCGGCCATCCTGCCCATCCAGAGCTCCCATGGACAAAGTGTGGACTCTAGCCTGATTCACAAAGTGTTCTTCTGCCAAATGTTGTTCAGACTTCCCTACTCCAACAAAAATTCTGTTTCATCTTAACTTCTGTTCAGTTTTGATGTTCCTTCAAAGATCAAAATAGTTTATATGGGAAATGTGTATATTTACTGAAGAGAGACAATAGTAAGAAAATATTAGTTCTATTGCTGCATAGATATTATATATATGAATATATAATATATATTATATACATATATATGAAAAGCCTGGCAAGCTCTCTGTGACGTATTTGATATGCCAAACACAGTAACAACAAGTCTCACAATTTGTTGTGAGATGTAACAGGTGCCCGCTCGAGCAAATCGATGAACAATGGGAGGACAGTGCTACAGTGATACCATATATGTAATAGGATTTAGATTCTGCTAGTGTTGAATCATATTGGAAAGCAGTCTTCCTAATGTGGTAACAGCCTGCTCGTAAAGTCTATAATTGACCATTTACCTGCCTCGCTGTCTTCTAGTTACTTTGCTAATTTATGAAAAAATGATAGGTGTTTTTAAAAGTCAAATATTGATACTGTTCCTGTCCTTTTTTCCCTGTCTTTTCAGGTATCTGGCATAATTTTGTCCTTGCACTCCTGGGTATTTTAGCTCTTGTTCTCCTCCCTGTAATTCTCCTGCCATTTTACTACACTGGAGTCGGGGTGCTTATCACTGAAGTGGCTGAGGTAAATGGTGGATTACTAGTGGCATTCTTTTTTCTTTCACCAGATTTTTCTATGTATATGTAATACCTTTACATATCCACTTATTACATGTAATAAAAATATACTTTAGGTCCAAAACTTTTATTCAAATTCTCCTAATATGCAAAAAGCTCATTTTGTGACAAAGTTACTATACCGCTTTCAAACCAACCTAATGTTTTGTGAAAGTACTGATGATTTTTTAAAATACTGAATCTTATAACAATATTTTCCAGTTTTCATAAGTGAAAGAAAAAAACAAAGCAACCAACTTCTGACTGTTGACACTAAAATGATAAAGGTTTTCCTCAAATTACTAATCGAGATTAGTTTGACTTAGATTAGGTTGAATTGTTAATTCAACCTATAGTTTGTTAGTAAATGGTTCATCTACCTTTATGGTTTCTTTTTATTTCTCTGCTCCTAAGAAGTAAGAAAAGTGAAACTCAGACTAAGGAGCAATTGAAATGGGCATTTTCATAGGCGTCAGTTGATATGTTCTACTGTACGGTTCCCTCCCTTAGCTAATGAGCACCGTATAAGGCAAGCACCAGGCATTCCATTCAGGCTGCAGGGAGATGAAAATGGCCTTTCATCTGAGCATGTGGCTGGCTGACGGTGTGGTCTGCATATTTGGCACTGTGTAGAGATAAAGGACTGGTCTTAGAATCTTTTCCAAAAACTGGGAGGAAAACTGTGATACCTGCTTCCCCAGAAAATCTCAATTAGCAATTTGAGGAAAACTTTTATCATTTTAGTGTCAACAGTCAGCAAGTTGGTTGTTTTATTTTTTCCTTCACTTATGAAAAGGGGAAAATCTTGGAGAAGAGATACAAATTATTAAGGGATTTTTTTGGTTTGTTTTTTTGGGGGTTTTTTTGGTCTTTTTTTGTTGCTTTGTTTTTTGTTTTTGCTTTTTGGGTCACATCCGGCAATGCACAGGGGTTACTCCTGGCTCATGCACTCAGGAATTACTTCTGGTGGTGCTCGGGGGACCATATGGAATGCTGGGAATGGAAACCGGGTCGGCTGTGTGCAAAGCAAATGCCTTACCTGCTGTACTATTGCTCCAGCTCCTATTAAGATTTATTTTTATTAAACAAATTATTGAGATCAGTTTTTATTAGCTTCCTCAGACTACACAGGTTGGATTCAGAACTGGATTATCTTCCATATTATTCAAAACATGCAACTTAATGTCTTTAACTGTTATTTGCTTGGTATAACCATACCTTCCTTCACACATTGTCTGACGTTACCCTCTTCTCAAGGACTCGCCTGCCGTTGGACCTAGAGGCCTTTTTGTGGGAGACCTTGTCACCCATCTACAGGATTGTCCCGTTACTAATGTACAAGACTGGAATGAGTGTCTAGATACCATCGCCTATGAGCCCCAAATTGGTTACTGTATAAGCGCATCAACTTTACAGCAGTTAAGTTTCCCAGTTAGAGGTATGTATTTCCTCAGTACAATATGGTGTCAAGCAAGCTTGCCATTCACCAGTCTTAGACCATGTCTGTAGAGTTATTTTGTTCTGATTTTTTTAAAGCGAATCATTGACATAATAGGACTAAACTAGTAGAACTTCTTATTGGTAAGTTGGATATTAATATGTATGTTTTCATTATTATATACTATTGTTGAAGCTTTGACTAATATCATAATATATTTGACTTTCGGAACTCCATAATTCTTTTTGTACCCAAACAGCTTGCATTGAGTCAGCATTCATCTAAACCATAACGATTTAACTGACTTCCCGTAATTAAATGCCCCCAAGCTGTAGAGATAGTAGCATATCCAAAGCTTATTTGTGGGGATTGTTTTATGTGGCAAGCACGCAAAGAAAGTCATCTCACATCCAAAAATACCCACTTGGTATCAGATATGTTTTTCTGTGTATCAGGTAACAGGAAGAAGCAGGTTTATCTTCAGAAGCTAAGTTATGTTGAGCTTTCAAAGATTTTGCCCAAATTATTGATCGTGTTGGAAAATACAAATTATGCTCCTTGACTGTGTCTTTAAGTAAAGCAAGAATACCCAGATACTTGTCCTTATCAACTTGAGTTAAGAAATATGACTAATAATTGTGGGGCTGGAGTGATAGTACAGTGGGTAGGGCATTTGCCTTGCACGCAGCTTACCCAGGTTCAATCCGCGGTATTCCACATGGTTCCCCAAGCACCGCCAGAAGTAGTTCCTGAGCGCAGAGCCAGGAGTAACCCCTGAGCATCGCTGGGTGTGACCAAAAAAGCAAGAATTAAAAAATAAATATGATTAATAATTGAGAATCTATTTGGATATGATACTATGTACCACAGTGGCTAAGTATTTTGCAGGCCCATATTACCCACTTAAAAATTTTTTTTTATTAAATCACCAATTAAGCAGTTACAAAGTTGTCCATGACTGAGTTTCAGTCATAACAACGTTCCGGTACCTGTCCCATCACCAGTGCACATTCCCCACCGCCAGTGTCCCCGATTCGCAGTTTTTCTCCTTCCATCCCCTACCCCAAGTCTGCCTCTGTGGCAGACACTTTGTCTCTTCTCTCTCTTTCTCTCTCTCTCTTCCCTCACTTTTGATCGATATGGTTTATAGTACAGGTACTGTAAGATTATTGTGCCATATTACTTGTTTTAAAGCAACTTTTTTTGGATAATTGTCACGGGAGCCATACCTGACTGGGCCAGGGTCAGGGAGAATATTTTGGCCCCTGCCTCAGACCCAGGGATGCACACAGGCCAGATAAGTGCTCTACCACTTAACATCTCCAGCCCAGATCTTTTGTTATTGTATAAAGATGCAATTATACATAAAAGTCCAGATGCTATTATAAATGTAGTTCCCAAATTCAGCAAACACTTTACCAATTCTTCTTCCCATCTGCCCATTTCAGGAGGGCTATTTTATTTTATTATTATTTCAGTTTGTTTTGTGGCCATAACCAGCAGTGCTCGGGGCTTTATTCTCACTACGTGCTTAGGGATCACACCTACAGTGCTCAGGGTGACTATATATTCTGGGGATTGATCAAGATTCAGCCACATGCAAGGCAAGTGCCTTAACTCCTGTATTGTCTCTCCAGCTCAGGAGGGGTAGGGGATTTTTTGCAATTTTTATATATTTTATTTTCATAAAGTAGTTCACAATAATTCATTACAGATAATATTCAAACACCAATCCCACCACCGAGCACCTTCCCACCACAATAAGAGGGAAGCATGTGAGGTTATTGTATTTCATTCTGGAGCTATTTAAGCCCTTATATAAGAGAATGCAAGCAAGTATGTTAAAACCAAACAAATGTATGCTACTTTTGGCACATAAGTAGGCTAGAGCATAAGAGGTCATGTGGTCACAAATGCAGCCATGCATTCCGGGGCATTCTGCGTTGCTCTCTTCTGGGAGCTTTAGTTAGTCTCTGCATCTTGGCCTTTGATAAGATTACATAGAGCTGGAAGCAGTTTGTGGGTGTGACTGCCAAGCTACTGGAAAACTGGGGGGCTGAGGGGAGGAGGCCCAGTCCTAATCCGAGCGGGCTTGGAGATGTCAGTCACATACCTGGTTTCTTCTGCCGGTTCCTTCATGGGAAAGGCTCGTCTGAGCATGTGGAGAGTGACCTTAAGCATGGCGGCGGTTGGGTTCTGGAGGTTTTCGACTGCCGGGGTTCTGCTTGGAGTGGGGAGGGAAACTCAACCCAGGGGGGCATATTTTAAAATATTATATAAAGTTATCATAAACCAGCATAGCTTTATTAGAGAGTTACTTTTAAACATAACCATAGAGCTGTTTTCTTCCCTAACAAAAGTTAATAATAATTCCTAATATTTAATATTTACTTTTAACTAACTATCCCCTTCCCTTTCCTTTCTTTTTATTGTTGATAATGCAGTGATAGGGAATTGCACCCAGTTAGCTGCGGTGCTTGAATGTTTTAGTTGCAGTGCCTTGTGGAGGTGGGGTGGAGGGGGGCAACTGTCACACACTTTTAGTTGTGATGCTCTTGGTCATACACTCTTGGTTATGGTGTTCTGGAGATCATGATCAGGGATTCCACTTGGACATGTGGGGGTGGTGCCAGGGGTCAATCTTGAGGCATCACGCTTACAAGGAAGATACTTTACCACTGAACTATCCCCAGGCCCTCCAATAGTTCATTTAACTGGCTTTTTTTTTCCTTCCTTGGTGCCAAAAATTCAACTCATACACACAGACATACACTCTATGACATGCCCTGCATATATGGTCAGTTTCCCTTTTTTTTTTTTTTTTTTTGCTTTTTGGGTCACACCCGGCTTTGCACAGGGATTCCTCCTGGCTCATGCACTCAGGAATTACTCCTGGCGGTGCTCAGGGGACCATATGGGATGCTGGGAATCGAACCCAGGTCGGCTGCGTGTAAGGCAAACGCCCTACCCGCTGTGCTATCACTCCAGCCCCTATGGTCAGTTTCTTAAATCTCGTAATTTCTAACCATTCCCCCTGACTTTTAGGCAGGGAGAGGGGCCACACCCAGTGTGCTTGTGGACTACATCTGGCTCTGCACCTGGAGAGTCACTCCTGGAGCTACCCAGGGAACTGTGTGGCATTAACTACATGCAAGGCCTTAAGCTCTATACTATCTCTCCTGCCCTCCCCCACTCCCACACACATGGTCACGGTCACGGTCCTCCTGTTATTCATTGATTTGCTCGAGCGGGCCCAGTAACATCTCCATCGTGAGACTTGTTACTGTGTCTGGCATATCGAATACTCTCGGTAGCTTGCCGGGCTCTCCGAGAGGGGCGGAGGAATCAAACTCGGGTCTGCCATGTTGGCCGCTTGCAAGGCAAATGCCCTACCGCTGTGCTATCTCTCCAGTTACCCGCCCCCACACACATACAGCTTTTTGTATTTCTTACCTCAGTTAGTTTTTTCATTTGGTATTAAGGTACTATGATTTATAAAGTTGTTTGTAGTGCAATTTCAAATATACAGTGTTTCTGGGCCCAAATGACAGTACAGCAGGTAGGGTGCTTGCCTTGCATGTGATGCCCGGGTTTGATACCCAGTCCCTGTATGGTCCCTCAAGCACCTCCAGCAGTGATTCCTGAGCACAGAGTCAGGAGTAACCACTAAGCACCACAGGGGTTGGCCCCAAAACAAACACACAAATCAATGAAAACACATACAATGGTTCAACTGCGAGCCCCATCACCAGTGGCACCATCCCTCCACCAACACCCCTGGCTTCCTGCCATCCTCCAATCTGCCTCCTTAACAGGCATGGTTTTTGGGTGGGGGTGTTAGTTTGTTTTTGGTATTTTTTTGCTTTTTTGGGTCACACCCGGCGATGCTCAGGGGTTACTCCTATCTCTGCACTCAGGAATTACCCCTGAAGTTACTCAGGGGACCACACGGGATGCTGGGAATCGAACCCGGTTCGGCCGCGTGCAAGGCAAACACCCTACCGCTGTGCTATCGTTCCAGCCCCCATCAGGCATGTTTTTAAGTTTGGTTATCGTAGTTTGGGTCTCCTGCTCACAGTGTTGTTAGCTTTGTGGTTTAAATCTAAGCATATACCTCACTCTACACCAACTATGTGCCCAAGGCCCCAATCCCTGCCCCATCCGCTACTTCTCCCCACCAAGTTCTTTCCTCCCCTGCCTTTCTCCTCCCTGTACTATAGGGGCAAGTGTGATCAAGGTATCCCCACACTGATACTTTGCTTCCTTCTTCAAGTTTTTCTATATATCACAGATAAGTGAGGACCTTCAGTATTTTTTATTTGAATATCATTTTGTTTGTTAAACTGAGTCATCATTTTGATGCGTTCTCCCAAATTAGCCAGGGATGTAGCCTAAAGGGCTGGAATTCATGCTTTGCCTGTGAGACCCCAAGGTTCTATCCCCAGCAGTCAGGAGAGATTCCAGTGCACCATTGGGCATCTCCAAAAAATAAAAAGAATTTCTAAAATTGTGTATTTGCTTAGTTAGATCTTATCCTTATCATGTCACTGACATGTTCCAAAATCCTCTCAGTTTCTTGGTTTTCAATTGTATTTAGATCTAGAGTGTAACTTAAATTTAGAACCAATTTATGAGTCAGAAATGCTTCCAGGGTAGTGCTTAGTACTCCTTTTGCTTCATGTCAGGAGGTGCACATTAGCTAATATCTCCTTTGTGTTGTAAAGACTGTTCAGTGGATTAACCTGTTATTGTTCTTTCAGTATAGGTGTTGGGGATCAAACTCAGGGCCTCCTATGTGCCAGACATGCACTCTACCACTGATCCATTTTCCTGGCCCCAAACTTTATTCTTTCATATTGAAATATTTGTAAAATTTATCTCTTCTCAGGAGACGGCATCTTCCTCAACTTTTCACATGATGGGTTGGACTGCAATATATTCTCTAAGAGAAATAATCCATCATTTCACACTTTTTAAGTCCTTTGCCATTTGCCTTGGGT